ATCATCATCGTTTCCTTTTTTCTTTTTCTTTTCTTTTTTTATGAGTCAGAATCTCACTCTGTTCCCCAGGCTGGAGTGCAGAGTAAAGTGGCAAGATCAGGGCTTACTACAGCCTGACCTCCTTGGCTCAGGTGATCCTTTTACCTCAGTTTCCTAAGTAGCTGGGAATACAGGCGTGTGCCACCACACCTGGCTCATTTTTTTGTTTCTTTGTAGAGACGAGGTCTTGCTATGTTGCCCAGGCTAGTCTTGAACTCCTGGACTCAAGAGATTTTCCCACCTCAGTTTCCCAAAGTCCTGGGATTACAGGCATGAGCCACTGTATCCGACCATCATTTTCTTTTTTTTAAAAAAATTACAGAAGTGTAAGGTGGTCAAGGGCAATTTTGTTACATAGATATATTGCATAATGGTGAAGTCTGGGCTTTTTATGTATCCATCACTTGAATAACATACGTTGTACCTATTAAGTAATATCTCGTTCTCCAACCCCTTCTGCATGAGTCACTGCACCTGGCCTAGAATAGTGGTTTGAATATGTTAGTGTTCAATAAATGCTTATTGCATGAAAGAATAAATCGATCACTTAAAAGTTTATTTTCTCTCAAACACATCTCTCTGTTTAACAGAAGAGTCAGATACCATTCTCATAAATGCATTTGTAGCCAGTCTCTAATGAGTGTCTAATAATGCAGACTGCAAATCAACAGCAAAGTGAGGTTACAAATTCCGCAAGACAGAAAGGATTTATGAAGGTGATGCAGGTAAGACTGGAGAACTGCTAAACCATTGGCAAATCCAGATCTAGCAGAGTTAAATCATGTGAGAAGTTTAAAAACGACAGAATTGGCAAGCATGATCTGGAGACAGGAATTTTGAAAGAGAGTGATATAATGTTAATATGAAAGAGTTAAATGTGAGTCACTTGGTAAAATCAGTGAAAACTGTGAAAATATAAAAAACAGTCAATCGTATAATCTTGCTTTGAAAGTCTAATGTGAAGGATGTGGTGTGAGGTGGAGGATGTTTTATCTTATCATTTCGATGGTCAGTTAGGCAGTTCCTATTAGCAAGTTGTTCCAATGATAGTAAAAATTTGGCTAAATAAAAGGAAAAGCAAACTTATTTCCATAATTCCTAGTTTTATTTCTCAAGTTGAAGTTTAGCTCAAACCTACTATTTTTTCCTACTATTGCCTGTGAAATTTTGATTCTTATTTAAAATGGATTCAGTGTGACACAATGGCTCATGCCTGTAATCCCAGCACTTTGGGAGGTGGAGGTGAAAGGACTATGTGAGCCCAGGGGTTCAAGAACAGCCTGAACAACTTGATGAGACCTCGTCTCTACAGTAAATAAAAAAAATTAGCCAGGTGTGGTGGCATGTGCCTGTGGTTCCAGCTACTTGGAAGGCAGAGGCGAAAGGATAGCCTGAGCCCAGAAGGTCGAGGCTGTGGTGGCTGCGAGTGTGCCACTGTACTCCAGCCTGGGCGACAGAGTGAGACTCCAACTCTAAATACATAAATAACTATGGATTCACTTGCAGTGGCCTTTTCCCGGTATCATTTATCCTTTAAGAACTGGGGTCACAGAATATGATAAGTGCAATATCCAGACAACTGTTCAAGGTGTAAAGGTAACCCAGGGGAAAGTTGGAGTGAGCAGAGAGATGAAGGCTCCCTGGAGGAAGAGGTTGGGATTTTATTGACAACCAAACTGTACTGGTTAGAGGCAAATTAGTGGAGTTGTCTCTTCAGGCAACTAGTGAGACATCCTGGTCTTTGGGTCCAAATTCCTCCTGTTCTGTTCTTTCACTTGCTATGAGAACTAGGGCAAATTATTTCACTTCTCTGAGTCTTTGATTTCTCATCTGAAAATTTATTTTATTTTGTGCTTTTTAGAGATGAGGCCTAGCAGTTGCCCAAGCTGGCTTAAACTCCTGGCCTCAAGCAATCCTCCTGTCTCAGCCTTCCAAAGTGCTAGGATTACAGCCACCATGCATGGCTTCATCAGAAAATGTATATATATATATATAGCAACATTACAGATCTATGTTAGGAAGAACTCAAGGAGACCTCTCAGTTCCCTTTTCTCCCCCAAGGAGTTGCGTATAGATAGCTTAAGAATGAAACTGCTCCTGTTGGCTTCAGTTAATTCTGAAGATTGGGTGCTGTTTCTATGGGGAAAGCTGCTGTCATTGTCTAGTTGTGTCAGGAAGTCCATTCTCAATATTTCAAAACAATTCCTCTTTTGTGCATTTTTATCTGCTGCCTTCAGTAAGGCCCATCTGAGTGGTACACAGATGGCAGTGGCAGTGACAGCAGCTGTGGCGATCATAGCTGGAAAGTGCGCCCAGAGAATCCATGGAGAGCAAAGGCCATGCCTCTGGACTATGCAGCAGGGAACAGAGCCAGGCAACTGTTTCAAAGCCTTTAACTCAGAAAACAAAAAATACCCTCTGACTCTACAGTGGACATTTATTAATAGTTAATTTACCAAGTACCCTGCATTGCCTTAATCATGCTCATTGTAAGATAAGTACTATTATTATTATTATTAAATTTTTTTTTTTTTTGAGTTGGAGTCTCACTCCATTGCCCCGACTGGAGTGCAGTGGCACACTCCTGGCCACCACAGCCTCGACCTGCTGGGCTCCAGCAATCCTTCCACCTCAGCCTTCCAAGTAGCCGGAATTACAGGCTACCACGCCCAGCTGATTTTTTGATTTATTGTAGAGATGAGCTATTATTATTTTTAAAAAACGATTTGGGTTCTCACTCTATTGCCCAGGCTGGAGTACAGTGTACAATCATGGCTCACTGCAGCCTCCACCTCCTGGACTTAATCCTTCAACCTCAGTCTCCTGAGTAGCTACCACCATGCTCAACTAATTTTTTGCTTTTTTTTTGGCGAGAAGCTCTTGCTATGTTGCCCAGGCTGCTCTTGAACTCCTGGGCTCAAACAATCCTTCCACCTCGGTTTCCTAGAGTGCTGGCATTATAGGTGTGAGCTACTGTGTAACCAGCCTCATAGGTACTGTTATTATCACTGCTTTCCAGATGAGGGCACTGAACTTAGAGAGGCTGAGCAGCATGGCCAAAGTCACAGCTAATGGCAGAGCTGAACTCATACTCCAGGTCCGGATCTCAAGTTAGTGCGATAGCCAGTATGCTCGACTCCCCGCCACTGTACATTTACATTTCCTCCAATTGCCAATTGAACTGCCTTTTACTCCTGGCTGTCAGTAGACCGTCCTTGTTCATTCGCAAGGCCGAGCTAACTGGTCACATTGGCAGAAGACAAGGTGTAGGTAGAAGAGAGTGGATAAGGAGTACCGGCCAGCGAGGCCTCTGTCTGTTCACCAGATGGTTCTCCAGCGAGGCTTTGTTCAGGCTGTGTTTCATTTAAACAAGAGATGGTTCCTTTTGGGAACTTATTTATTAGAAGACAGATACAAAAAGAAAAGAACACTATGGAAAGAGCATACACGAGGTGCAGCTGGCACGCCAGGGCAATCACCTTTGCCTCAGGGACTTAGGGAAGGCTGCCAGGGACAAGAATTGAGCTCTCTCACAAGATGGTAGGAGTTCACCAGTCAAGTTTAGAACAGGCGTGCACACCTGGCAGAGGCGACAGTCATGCCGAAGTCAGGAAATGTGGCATGGTTCCTGGGTTGGTAGTGCTAGATATGGGGGTTGAGCTTGGGGTGGAGGAAGCTGCAGGAGAGGATTCCAGTAATGGGAAAGAGACTCAGGTCACAAAGGACCTCCGCTGTCAGGCTAGGGATTTGGACTCCTGTATCTGATCAACGCAGACACTGTGAAGGGGTTCATGCTGAAGGGCCGCATGCCTGGACTTGACCCCTTAGCTTGCCCCTCCATGTCACCTTGGCTCTACTCTGTGGCCAGGGAGGCTGACATCAGTGGGCAATGTCAGTAGGCCGCCTTGCCCCAATTGGGAAACACTGGTGGGGGATAAGAATGAGGAGAGTAAGATTGGACAATTTGTTCCCCCAGATCTACACTTTATTTATTTTTTGATTTGGGGGCTCGCTCTGTTACCCAGACTGGAGTGCAGTGGCATGATCACAGCTCACTGCAGTCTCAACCTTCTGGGCTCAGGTGATCCTTCCACCTCAGTCTCCCAAGTAGCTGGGACTACAGGTGCATGCCATTGTGCCTGGCTACTTCTTTTATTTTTGTAGATATGGGGTCTTGCTATGTTGCCCAGACCGATCTGCATTCCTGGGTTCAAGCAACCCTTTTGCCTCAGCCTTATAAAATGCTGGGATGACAGGCTTGAGCCACTGTGCCCAGCCCAGATCCCCACTTTTGTAGTCATCATGCACTCATCATTCAACTCTTGCTACGTAGCTTTCTATACATAATTCTTGCTTTTTCTCTTTAGAAACTGATTTTGTCTCTTGCCTCATTAGGTTTAGGGATAGCAAATGTACCTGACTGCTACAAGCCTGGGAGTATTGCATTATCCCTACAATTTTCCTACACTCTGCCAAAGTCTTTTAAGATAATTTCTATATTAAAATTTCCAGCTGAGTGTAGTGACTCACCGCCTGCAATCCCAGCAACTAGGGAGACTGAGGCAGAAGGGTCATTTGAGCCCAGGAGTTCAAGGTTATACAGTGATTGCACCACTGCACTCCAGCCTGCTCTGTCAGAGCCTATCTCTGTCTCCTGAAAATTTTTAAAAAATTCATAAAATACCTTATTTGGGTGCCATCTTATTCCTACAAGGACCCTGATGGAAACAATGACCATATATTTATTTTAGAGTGATACTTAGGTAGCAGGGTAGACAATGCATTGGACAGGGAGGCAAGAAAGCAGGCACTGAGAACAAAGAAGATGAGACAACAATTCAAATAAGATGATTGCACCTGATCTTGGATCATAACAGTTGTGATGGAGGGGAGGGGGGATGCACAAGATACTTGGAGATAGAATCAATATCACTCAGTTGCAACCCTTGTAACCAGGCAATTCAGCCTCTCCAAACACGCACTAGGTAAGGGGAAATTCTATCCTGTAGTTTATCTCGCATAAATTTCAGAAAAAGAGAAGATTTACCGATAAGTAGAAGAGATGCAAGTAGGAAAGGTAATCCCCAAACTTTTAGGTAATATGACATGGAGGCAGGCTTGGAGGGATCAGGGATGATTCGAGTTTTTAAAGGCTTCAGTGTCCTGTCCCACTGGGTCAGGATGGCATTTCTGGCTCCATCCCACTTTCCAGGGCCCATGAGGCGGTACTGGTAAGGAGTACATGGCCCAAAGAAAACCTCCCAAGCTAATCTGGGATCTTTGAGGAACAGCAGTGGGATGTTGGGCTTCACTCCTATGCATGCAGCGAGCTCATCCAGGTAGAGAATGAAGTTGAGTACGTCTTCACTGGTATCCTCAATCACACCCCTGAGAGAAAGAAAGGTAAGCAACTTTTCATTAGCCACTTTGCCTTGTATTTCTCAAGTTATAAGATCCACCCCTCCTCCCACCATTTTGTCACTATTTGTTTTTTATTTTTATTTTTATTTTTTTGAGTTAGAGTCTCACTTTGTCACCCAGGTTGGAGTGCAGTGGCATGAACCTGGCTCATTGCAGCCTTGACATCCTCGGTTTAGGCAAGACTTCTGTCTCAGTCTCCCACTGACCCTGTCTCAAGCAACTGGTACTATAGGCACAAGCTACCATGCCCAGCTATTTTTTTTTCTTTGTAGAGATGAGGCCTTGTTATGGTGTCTAGGTGGGCTTGAACTTCTGTGCTCAAGCAATCCTCCTACTTCAGCCTCCCAAGGTGGTGGGATTACAGGTGTAAGCCAACATGCTTAGCCTATTATTTGCTTTTTAATAAAATCATGTTGAGACTGTTTTTCTATGTTGGAAAGAAAAAACAAAAGGAGTTTCTCTGCAGAGGGTATCCATGAGGGTAATTTTGTTAGTGATGGTAAAATGAGTCAATTGGAAGAGAAGCTTTAAGCATTGTTTTAGGCTCTTGAATTTGACATGAAGATAAGTCTGATAAGTCTACAAAGAATAGTTATTGAAGGGATGAATATGATCAGAACATTACATGGACACCTTGGGTTTTTTTTTTTTTTTTTTTTTTTGAGTTGGAATTTTATTCTGTCGCCCAGGCAGGAGTGCAGTGGCACGCTCATGGCCATCCCAGTGTCGACCAGCTGGGCTCTGGTGATCCTTCCACCTCAGCCTTCCAAGCAGTCGGAACTATAGGCGCATCCTACCACACCCGGTTAATTTTTGATTTATTGTAGAGACAGGTCTTGCCAAGTTGCCTGGGCTGGTCTCGAACCCGCAAGCTCAGGCAATCCATCCGCCTCGACCTCCCAAAGTGCTAGGATTACAGGCTGAGTCACCGAGCCCGGCCAAGAAGACTTCTCTTTTGAGGCAACATTTGAACAGCGTGAGCCACACAGGTGTTTAGTGGAACATTCCAGACAGAGGAGCGAGTAAGTGCAGAGGTTCTGGGGGTTATGCTTGGTATGGGTGAAGAACAGGGAAAAGGCTGAATGCCTGAGGCAGCAGGACAGTGGTGGGTGTGGTAGGTCTAGGCCACGAGGGATGTAGATGGCTGGGGTCACAGAGGCTGCCAGGAGGCTCTTGGTAGAGAGGGAAGCACTGGAGGGTTTGAACAGAAGGGCAATGTGGCAAAGCTCGCTCCTGCCGCCATGTCAAGACTAGACAGCAGAGTAGCCGGAGTGGAGGCAGGGGGACCAGAGAAGAGGTAGAGCAGGTGTCCCGGTGACAGATATTGGTGGCTTGGTCTGAAGTGACTTGGTCTGAAGTGGCAGCAGCAGGGATAGTGAAAAGTATCTGAGTTCTGGATTCATCTGGGAGGTAGGAGCTGACAGTATTTGCTGATGTGAGTTTGAGAGAAAAAGAGGAGGAAAAGATTACTCCAGGTTTTGGACTGATCAGCTGGAAGGAACAGCCATTAACCAAGATGGGGAATTCTCAAGCACTCTGTTTACAGGGCTGATGGGGACAGAGAGGTCAAGAGTTCATCGAAGACATCTTTAAAATGAGACACCAATTACACATCTAAGTGGAGCTGTTTGGTAGAAGTTGGGTTAGGAATCTGAAGCACTGGAGAAAAGTCAGAGACACATGTTTGGGAGCCTTGAGGATGTGCTGGTATTCGAGCCTGGATAAGGCCCCTGGGCATGTGTTTCAGCGGGCATGAGAGGAGGTCTGCGTCCTAGGGTTGGAGCTCTCCAGTTTCAGGAGTGAAGAAGAGGAGGTACTGCAAATACAGAGAAAAAGCAGCCTGAGCAGTAAGAGGAGAACATGACAGAGAAGACTACTGGAGCCAGATGAGGACAGGGTGGTCACCCATAAGAGGCCAGGTCATGTCCCGCTGAGATGGCTCAGTGTCCCCGATGATGGGTTTAAGATCACATGTCTCGTTGTTGGCAGAGTTAGGATTAAAGATATTCTCTGATTCCTAATGAATAGTTGTCTCCCACCTGCCATACTGCTTCTCTAAAAATGCATTTTATGCTCTGAATTTTTTTTAAAATCAAGGTGTCACTGTGTTGCCCAGGTTGGAGGGCAGTGGATGATCACAGCTACTGGAGCCACAACCTCCTGGGCTCAGTCGTCTCAGTAGTTGGAATTACAGGCATGTGCCACCATGCCTGGCTACTTTTTAAAATTTTTGTAGAGATGCAGTCTCACTAGGTTGCCTAGGCTGGCCTCAAATTCCTGACCTTAAGAGATCCCCCTGCCTTGGCCTCCCAAAGTATTGGGATTACAGGCACAAGCTACCCTATCCAGCTAATATTTTTTGTTTATTTTTATTTTTTTAAAGATGAGGTCTTGCTAGGTTGTCTAAGGTCTTGAATTCCTGGGCTCAAGTGATCCTCCTGCCTTGGCCTCCCAAACTGTTGGGATTACATGTGTGAGCCACTGCACTTGGCCTCTGAATTATTTAAAAAAATTTTTGGTAACAGGATATATTATAAGTTTCCCTCATAGCAAGCTGTATTTCATACCTTTTAATGAGCTGTTCCCTTTTAGTGGCCTCAGCCATTAATTTCTTTGATGGAGGTGTTGTACAGAGTCCTGTGAGGAAAATTGGAAGCAAACTAAAGTCACATGTGTTTTCCTTTATTTGAGTTTCCGCCCTCTCATTTTTGGCCTCCCATAACTCTGACTTCAAAACACATGACAGTCACAGCTCAGAACAGAAGTGGAGTACAGAGGATAATTTTCTGAGGAAAAGTATCTCTCCAAGCTCACTTAACCAGGCACTCTACTGTCAAAATTGTGAGGACAGATGCCCCTGGGGCTCAGCCCTCAGCCTGCCCATGCTCACTAGACCCCCGCATCCGGTGGCAGCTTGTATCTTCATCGGCCCTCCCTAAATATATAAAATAATATCTATTATATATATGCCTCCCCATACTTGTGTGTGTGCGCACTAAAGCTATTAGTCGGTTAACAAACACACAATGACCCTGTTTTTATAACAGTGTTTCAGCACACCTTTTTTTTGTCATGTGGGGAAACTGAGTTGTGGAAGGGACCTGGCATCTCTCAGGGTCACTGAGGCTGTCTGCCTGGGTTATTCCCCATCTCCTTTCTGGATATTCTTGGCACTTGGGTTCTGCCCTTCCTGCTCTTCTGGACTGTACACCACCTTGCTCTTGCCTTCACTGACTGAGCCCTGGTCATGCTCTGCAGTTGTTCAGCTGCCCCAGAGTCTAAGCTCCCACTCTGTCCTCTAGGTTCCTGGGACTTCCAACCCACCCCCCCGTACTGTGAACTCTGCCCACCTCCAGTGCCACTGTGACCTTTTAGTCCACCCTGTTCATCGTCTTCTTCTGGCTCTCCTGCCCTCGTGGGTGCCACATGCTAACCTGGGGGTGTGGAAGTACTCTCCCCGCTACGTAGGTCTGAACTCAGCTCTGTGGAGTACTTTCCACAAGGGCCACTTTATTCTGCAAAAAAGTCACCAGATTTTTTTTTTTTTTTTTTTTTTTTTAGTTGGAGTCTCACTCTGTCGCCCAGACTGGAGTGCAGTGGCCGCTCCCGGCCACCGCAGCCTCGACTTGCTGGGCTCCGGCGATCCTTCCGCCTCAACCTTCCAAGTAGCCAGAACTACAGGTGCGCACTATCACACCCGGCTAGTTTTGTGATTTATTGTAGTGACGAGGTCTTGCCAAGTTGCCCGGGCGGGTCTCGAACCTGCGGGCTCAGGCAATCCTCTCGCCTTGGTCTTCCAAAGTGCTAGGATTACAGGCTGAGCCACCAAGCCCAACCAGTCACCAGATTTTAATTGGTGGTTCCTAGGTTGCCTCTTGGAAGCTCTCCCAAGGAGCATGAAATTATTCTTATGGCGTGAGTCAAGCACTGTTGTTTTGTGGACTTTACTATTCTAATAAGCAACTTGGAGCTCCCCATAAAATACTTAAAAACCATGTACTTAATTAAGAGTCTTTTGTGGTTTTAGTATAACTGAATAATGCCAGGAACGCATCTTAAATGACTGTAAAGAAATAAAAATTTGTGATAATGTGATGGAGGGTGTGGAATGCTTTTTCTGTAATGCAAATCCAATGAGGTTTTCTAATTACCTGCACTCCCCTCCTCCGTGGGAGCAACAATTTTGCCACCTTAGAAGGACATATGGCTTTTAGGTACCTACTACATTTTTACACTGTGATAGATGTCGACACTACTGAGTACGGTATTGCCTGCTGTTAATAAATCATTGGTGATTGTTCTTACACATTCAGGACAGGATTCTGTTATAGGACAGTTGGTTGGTCCATTGTTATTGTTGTTTATATTTAAAAATAATAAAATTGGCCAGAGTTGGTGGCTCAGCCTGTAATCCCAGCACTTTGGGAGACCGAGGTGAGTGGATTGCCTGAGCCCGCAGATTTGAGACCAGCCTGGGCAACTTGGCGAGACCTCGTCTCTACAATAAATCAAAAAATTAGCTGGGAAAGGTAGCGCGCGCCTGTAGTTCCAGGTACTTGGAAGGCTGAGGTGGAAGGATCGCCAGAGCCTAGCAGGTTGACCCTGTGGTGGTTGTGAGTGTGCGTGCCGCTGTTGTCCATAATGGGTGACAGAGTGAGACACCAACTCAAAAAAAAAAAAAAAAAAAAAAGGATAACCTCCTTGGGTCCCTTCCTGCTGTGGGAGCTTTTCTGTCCTCTTAATAAATCCTACTTTCAAAAAGAAAAAAAACTGCAATTCTTTAAAATGATCACTAATCTAAAACTTGCCAGACTTTTGAGAAGTATGATAACAACAGTGAGAACAACAGCCATCACCTCATAGACATTTCTCACGTGTCAAGCACTGTGCTAACTGCTGTACAGACATTCTCCACCTTACAAAATCCTTATGCTCGAGGGCATATCATCATCATTTTGCAGATGAAGGGGCTGAGAAATAGAGATATCCGCATAAAACAAATGCATTTCAAAGTTGGGATGGGCCAGGTAGCTTCAGCTCTGGCCACTGTGTGCTTATCACGTAACTGACAGCAAGTAGTTTCTGGTGTCTACGATATTTTTTATGGTCATTTCTTAAAGGTTACTATCACCTCAGATGTCAATTTTATTCATGGTGTGCACTGTTCCAGTATCTTTCTTTGGAAGCAATATATAGTTATCCTTCCAGTAATTAGGCAATGACATTAGGAAAGACTTCAGAGTGAATGGATTAGACTAGACTAGAGTGGGATCCTGGAGCTTCCAATAAATTCCAGCTAATCTGAGAACCCAATTACATTCTGACGTCCAAATTTATTTCATCCACAGAACCAAAATCTCTTTTTTTCAGTTGGTCACATTGACATAGCACACTCATCATATTACAAATGTATACACGTTGTTCATTAATTACAAAAAATATTTTTTAAAACATCCACCTTAGCTCACATCTGTTTGATTTGGGCTGAAAGGCAGGGCACTGATTTTAAGATTTGAAGAGAGGCTTTGAAGAAAGGGAAGGTACCTTTAAACACTCTGGTGGCCCACCTCGCTTGGAGCTCTGTGCCTGCCAAGATGGACCCCTTCAGGATTATAAGGCCGATGATGGCTAACGTTGCTCTCTCCAGGTTGGAGGGAAAGACCTGCTTGAACAGGAAAATCTTCTTCATACAGAGGCTTTTGAGAGGTTCTTCAAAAAAGGGAAAAGAAAACTTATATCCTGTAGTGAAGATCACAGCGTCAATGTTTTCTTCCACGGTCCCGTCTTCAAAGACAGCAGAAGTCTCTGTGAATTCCACCACGCTGGGCTTTATAGTGACCATCCCACACAGAATACAGGTTGGCAGCTCATCATTCACAATGAATTTTGTCTTTTTCCTTTGACACAGAGGAGAAAATTATTTGCTTTAGTTATTTCTGCAAGAAACTGCAGCACATAATTTATTTAGTCAATTCAGGGAAATTACTTGCCAAACTAAGGAAGTTAATTGACTAGTGTCTAATTCAGTGTTGTCTCCCTGACTCACTGTGTTTGTGACATGTTCTGTTTTCCTGCTCCCAGTAGGCATGTGGAAGATGACTAAACATGCTCTTTCTTGCCTGGGATTTAAATTCTCGATCTCTCGGAACTAATTTCTGAAAGAGTGCTTTTCTCAGGCATCAGCATAGAGCACACAGCACAGCAATTCATTTGATGATCACTCCTGGGTCTCACATCACCTAGGCCTCAAGGAATGTCATTAGGCAAAGAGAAAACTAGCAAGAAATTCTTTAAGCGAGAATAAAAAAGATCTGAATCAATTTATACTAATGAATATATTTTAATTGTGAGCATCATTCTTCCTAGTTACATCAGATATAATGTCTATAAAATTGACATATCAAATCATCCTTTGCCATTAGTTTTCCTTATAAGTTGGAAGATATTGCTGGGTACAGTAGCTCACACCTGTAATTCCAGCACTTTAAGAGGCTGAGGTGGAAGGATCGCTTGAGCCCAGGAGTTGAGACCAGGCTGGGCCACATAGTGAGATGTCGTCTCTATCAAAAATGAAAAAATTAGCTGGATGCCTGTAATCCCAGCTACTCAAGAGGCTGAGATGGGAAGATCACTTGAGGCCAAGAAGTCAACGCTGCAGTGAGCCAGGACCGTGCCACTGCACTCCAGCCTAGGTGACAAAGTGAAACCTTGACACAAAAATAAAAAAATAAAAAATAAAAGAGATATCTCAAGGATTAGAGCACAGACCCCCCCCCAAAAAAGCTATTTACCAAAGAAAAAGATTTGGGTCAAGCATATGATAAAAATGATATTTAATAACCTTACATGCATTTCAAAGGTTTTCTTTTGCTTGCCAACATGCAACTCTATAAGTTGTATATGAAAATATATCATTTAAGGAATTCCTATTAGAAATTTATACCTCAAAACGTTCAGCAAGAATAGGCATTTATTATGGGTTAGCTAGAGTTGACCATTTGTATTCACTGAAGCCGAAATATCATATGGCAACAATTTTGTTATTGCTCAAAGTCACTTTAAATTTCCTGATTTTCAAGTAGGAAATGAAATTTTTCATCTTTCCTTTTCTTCTAGCCTCACTACTTTTGCTACTTGACAGAGAATACTCCTGTTTCAAGAACCATTGTGATACCCGATGGACAATGTTTCAGGGGGAAATGTTTAGAACAGGATAAACAAAGGCAGTATTATAATTATTGAACATTTTGAACAAAATAGAATGAGAACTATTGATTTAATAATTGTTCCATTAAATACAAAAAGTTCAAGTACCCCTTTGTGATTCTCAATCCATAATTCTCATGATTAAATATCTTATTCATCTTCCTTTCTTGAATCCAGGTTAGAAAACCTGAAGGCATAACTTGTGCAATAAAATTATGGCATCTTCTTACAGTCATCATGTTAAAAGGGTAGCCCCCATCTGAAGAGCGGCTGACAATCCAGGTACCAGTTCTAGTACTGAGAAGTACCTAAAAAGTAAGGCAAGAAGAATAAACACATGTCCATCATTTGAAGTAGTTTTCATCAAAGTGTTTAAAATTGTCCTATAACAACAGAGGATTTGTGAATTTGTACACATCTCCATGTGACGACCTGTCCCCATTGCTGTTATTGCACTCAAAACCACTTGACCAGATCTGTATATCTCTTAGATATTTTTATTCTGTTTACAGAGTTATAAACAGAGAATTCTAACACTTGCAGATATATGGAATTGATCTGGCAAGTTTTCAGATCAATATGTAAATGATATAGAACTTAGAATAATGGCTTGGCAGAAAAATTTTAACTGAATTAAATAAAAATCGATTCTTTCCCAATCTAGCAATTGTCCTATAATCTATGTTAAAGTGGAATCGATTTCTAATTTGTGAATTTGGGCTTAGATTTTCTTTTCCTTCTTTCTTTTTTTTTTTTTTCTTTTTGAGTGGGAGTCTCACTCTGTCACCCAGACTGGAGTGCAGTGGCACACTCACGGCCACCTCAGTGTCAACCTGCTGGGCTCCAGGGATCTTTCCACCTCAGCCTGCCAAGTAGCCAGAACTACAGGTATGCACTTCCACGCCCAGCTAATTTTGATTTATTGTAGAGATGAGATCTCGCCAAGTTGCCGGGGCTGGTCTCAAACCCGTGGGCTCAGGCAATCCACTTGTCTTGGCCTCCCAAAGTGCTGGGGTCATAGACTGAGTCACTGAGCCCAGCCGGACTTAGATTTTCTAAAAATCATTATGTAGACTTCTTGGGCAAGTAAGGGCTGCTTTTATCTTTAAATGAGGTTCAGGTCTGACTTTGGACTTGGAAAACTTGGAGACCTTCAGAACAATGACCTCCCCTTTCTGTCCTTCTGTAACAGTTTTCTCAGAATGACAAAGGGAGAGTGTGAAAGGAAGATGACTGGCTTGGGTGGAGCAATGTGCCCACTTGGGCTCATTCCTTCTGAACAACACTAGTGCTCTGGTCTCCACACACCTTTCCTAGCTCCTTCCTGGACATGGTTCAGTTCTGTAAAGGGTGGCTTCTTAAATGGTTCAGGGAGGCATGCGTGGCTTCAAGGATCTTCAGGTTTTTTCACTGACCCTGTGTCTGCATGACTTAGCAACGTGCTAGGGTGTTTTCTGGTCTCAATAGCTCTCCAGTCCCCATGAATTGGCGTGAGGCCCTCGCTCAGAAGTATGTACCTGAGCTGCTGTGCGGCTGAGTTCCACGGCCACGTCTCCACCTGTGTTCCCAAGACCCAGCACTAGGACACGTTTGTCTCGGAAGCCTTCTGGGATCTTGTATTCTTGACTGTGCAGGATCCAGCCCTTAAATTTATGGATTCCTGAGGGGAGGGAAAGATCACAAAACCTGAACTATCTAAAGTTATACTTTCCCAGAAGGCAGGAAGGAGTCTGGAAAAAGGGAAGACCCAGAAACCAGGCTGCCCCTCGCTTCCACCACCAGCGGCAGGAGGCAGATGAAACATGTGGTCTCCCTCTTCCCCGGGATGCTGTGAGCCTGGGATTAGACTTAGTACAAACTGCCTTGTTAAAAATATGGAAGATCTTGTACCCTATGAATGTTCTCTTTTAAAGCAATCACTTAGGGAAGTCAAACTCACACATAACAAAAAACATCCTGTGCACCACTCTGAACACCCAAGGCAGGAAGTAGATTGCTTCAATCACATGTCATTGCAGCCATCTATAGAATGTATCATACCCACTGTGATTGCTTTCGGGATCCCTGCACTCATATCTAAAGACCTATTTGACATATTCTTTTGGATACTGAGTAAGCAGCTAAAAATAAAAAAGTAGATTACTGATGTATATTATTTTACCTAATAGTTATATTCTATCAGAATGTGATTTGTATATATAATGTATTTACAAACTGAATTTTAATTCAATTAAAATTTTCCATAGAAGAAATTTGGTGGCAAGTTCTTGTGTAAATAAAGTAGTTATTCCTATGATTTAGGCTCATGTTATGTATACTTTATGCTGAATGCTTTATTATGCCGCATGCTTATTTGTTTATCCTGATGGTATTTATGACTGATCATTCATGAAGCTCCTAACACTCTGCCATAGAAGCATAGTTGTAATGATTTATTTCTGGTAATTATCTGCTAAGCAGATATAAAAGACATAAACCATGGCTTCCCATGGACTAAGAATGGTAGTAACAGTGGAAGTAGGGTTGTCTACAGCAGAGGTGGTAGCAATGGAAACTTGAGAGGTAATAGAGGAAACAAAGGTGATGGAGCCAGTGATAGATGAAGTCACTGACCGGTGAGATGAAGCACTGACAAAGAATTAGAAAGGGAAACTCAAGCAGTTTAGAGAACGAGACAACTTTCCACACCAATGCTCCAATTGCTTTTGAAGCTTTAATGCATAAAGATTATACCCCTTACTCTGATATATGATTCTCCTGCCATTCAGTCACTGATTCATGCATTTGCTCTTAACACTTACTAAATATGTATTATATATATGTATTCAGTAAGTGTCTATAGAATACATTATGTATGCATTATATATAATGTTACAATACATACCAAATATATATATATATTTTGAGTCAGAGTCTCACTCTGTCACCCAGGCTGGAGTGCAGTGGCACGCTCACAGCCACCACAGCCTTGACCTGCTGGGAATTTTTTCTCCAAGTGAACAGGCAACAAGACCCCAGCAGTCAGTCTGTGTGGAGATAACCTGGGGAGAGCCTGGGGTCCAGGGCATAGTAAAGGGTCATCCTGTGCCAAACAGCCCCTAACAAGCAGCTACAGCTGAAACATCCACAGTCAGCCTTCCACACTGCCAAGGTCACAGAAAACCAGCACAAGACTGGTGCCAGTCAAGAACGACCTTTCCCGCTCCCTGGCCTCTTCCCGCCCTTCTCTTGACTCCAGTTCTGCAAAGGCCAGAAAAAGCAACTGGCGGGGAAGGGCTTGGGGGAGGAGGAAGTGGCCGGGAAACGAGAAGCTGTTAATCCAAGCGGGCGCCGTGTGGGGACGGGGAGATGCTTTACCACCGCATGTCGCATGGAGAAGCACGTTTTGACAATTATACAAGACAGGACGTTTCATTTATAAAAATGAGAATTTGAGGGTGATGTAAAGTGGTCAGAGGACTTTTCATTATCTTACAGTAAGCAGGGGAAGGACAAGGCCCACAGATTGGATCTGCAGGGGCATTAAAAAAGGCTAGGTAATAATTGTGCTTTAAATAATCTGTTCTTTCAAGACTGTGTACCCCAGGGTGCTAGTTAGGTCTAAGGAATGTGAGAATAAGGAGTGCCTACACTCAAGGAATTTTTTCTCCAGTGGGGACATAGGTAAGTAGACAAGAGCTAACATTTTTTAGCCCTTGCTAGGCAGGCCCCAGGCTTCTGAAGGCTTTCTACATATTAACTAATGTAACCCTCAAATTACCTCATGGAGTAGACCATTCTGTTATTCAGTTTCACCCAAGCTGAAATTGAGACACCGGGAGGTTCAGCAACTTGCCCAAGACCGTATGGTAAGTGACAGAGCCAGGACAGGATTCAACATGTCTGGCCCTTGGAGCTCAGCTGTCAGGCTGATCCTCCACAGCCTCCCAGGACAGGAGGCCAGGACAGGGGGAGTTGTGCTGGCTTCTGGGGGCATGCAGCCTGGGCTGAGCCCGGAAGGCATTTCTGGGGGTGGCGATTTGTTTTTTAAAAGAAGAAACTTGAAAGATGATTAGAAATTGGAAAGGAAAACACAAAGAGGGTTTCAAGAAATGGGAACAGAAGACATCAGAATGCATTAGACAGCAGAGCATTCCTCCATTTACTGAGGTTTTGCTGGAGAGAAGTTACTTGAGGGCTCACCTTCCTTCATAGATTTTGTGTTTCTCATGCTACCTAACATAAATGATAGGTTCTCTGTAATTGTATATTGAGAAAGAAAAAATATTAAATGTGTAAGTAGTTCTGAGTCAATGACTATGTCAATGCAGTTCCCCAAAGAATAAAAAGTAATCTACATGGTAAATCAAAACTACTAATTCAGGAAAATAGGACGATTTATACTGAGAAAGAAAATAAACATTTTATTTGAGGAATGCAGCCCCCTTTAAATCATCAGGCCCAGAGAGGCACAGAAATGAGACAGTAGTCACATCTCACTCCCTCTTGAGATAAGTGATCACCGCTTGACTCCACTTGCTATGTGGCCCTAGACTCACTGACATCAAGCAGCCACAGATCAACGTAACAATGCCATACTCTGGATACCTTAACTCATACCCTAGAGTTCAACTATGTACAGTCAGGGACTAATCAATGCTATTTCTGTAAACCATGAGAATTCCTGTCAAGAAGCTTGTATCACTCCACTCCTTGTCCTGTTGCCTCTAAAAACCTGCTTGGAACACAGGCCAAAGGCAGCACTTGCCAAGGCAACTCAGACATGTTTCCTGGGCAACTGTCCTAAAAAACGCTTTAAAATTACCTTTTAGCTGGGCTCGGTGGCTCAGCCTGTAATCCCGCGCCTTTGGGAGGCTGAGGTGAGTGGATTGCCCAAGCCTGTGGGTTCGAGACCCGCCTGGGCAGCGAGACCTCATCTCTACAACAAATCAAAAAATCAGCCGGGCGTGGTAGCACATGCCTGTAATTCCAGCTACTTGGAAGGCAGTCTGGGCGACAGAGTGAGACTCCAACTCAAAAAAAAAAAATTACCTTTTGACTTAAGTAAACTCTTTAAAATTATATTTTATTTCTCAGCTTATTCCTCTAAGTCAACAATATAGATTTTTTTAAAAGGATGTGTGTGCGTCTCAATGTCAACTGTCAAATAGTTGTAATACCTTATAGACAAAGCTTGTGCTTTCTATGGGTTTTTCTAACTGGCGGCAGTATAGAAACAGCCCTGATACTTTCTATACGGAAAAGAGTCCATACTCCCAAGTAAACATTTGTCTCAATAGAGGTACTGAAGCTACTTGTGAAAGGTACTCATCAAAATCAGAAACAGAATCTGAAGTAGTGATAGTCTACGAGGAACTGAACATCGTGTGGAATGAAGGGTGAGCCAGCCCAAACTTGCTAAGACACTGCATTCTGAAAGTTTCATTTTAGTATTTGTACTTGTAACGCCTTTTCCCATAGGAAAAATTGTTATAAATGGTGGTTATGTATTCCTCCAGCACCGTACAACTGTGTGTTCAGCCCCCAGACTAGCCTAAGCCTGACAAACTACCTCTTACGATATTGGTTTTCTGCAAAACTGTGTGTTGAATTCCCACTAAATTCCTAAACACATTTTTTTTTTTTGAGTTGGAGTCTCACTCTGTCACCCAGCTGGAGAGCAGAGACATGCTTATGGCCTCCCCAGCATTGACCTGTTGACCTGCTGGGCTCCGGCAATCCTTCTGCCTCAGCCTTCCAAGTAGCCGGAACTACAGGCGCATGCTACCACACCTGGCAAATTTTTGATTTATTGTAGAGATGAGGTCTCACCAGGTTGCCAGGGATGCTCTCGAACCAGCGTGCTCAGGCAATCCACTTGCCTCAGCTTTCCAAAGTGCTGGGATTCCAAAGTGCTGGGCTGAGCCACTGAGCCCAGTCAACACATTGTTTTAAGAGGATATTTTTAAAATTTGTGATTATGTTTATAAAATACGTTTTCTTTTTTTTTTTTTCTTGCCAAGGTTTGCAAGATTTTTGTTTTTTTTTTTCTCTTGTAGAAACAGAGTTTTGCTCTGTCGCCAGGGCTGGAATGCAGTGACGTGATCACAGCTCATTTGTAGCTTTGAGTTCCTAGGCTCAAGCGAGCACACTACCTCAGCCCCCAAAAGTAGCTGCAACCACAGGCGCACTGTCACACCTGGATAATTTTTGTTTGTTTGTTTTGTAGAACCAGGTTTTCATTGCCCAGAATAGTCTCAAACTTTTGGTCTCAAGAGATTCTCCTGCCTCAGCCTTCCAAAGTACTGTGAGCCACTGTGCCTGGTGGTTTGCAAATTTTACTCTTCACACTCCTCCTTCCTTAAAAGTTCTTCCAATTATTCCAAGAAATTTCAAGACTTCATTTGCTCAATTGCCTTTAGGACCACTGATACACAATAGAAGAAGAGTAGCTTTGCTACATTGTAGTGATCTTTAATTGACTAATTTTATTCCCTTCATCTGAATGTGAATAGCTTTTGGTTTTCCAAGAAATCAATTTTGACCTCAAAAGATGGAGATTTTACAATCATGAGTATATTAAAAAGAATATACTATCAGATTTAAAAGCATTTCCAAATGAGGGCTTCTAAAGCTTCTTTTTGTGGATAGCCCTAGTGTATGGATTATTATTGTGCTGAGTGTTCTGAAGGGTGAATATATCACTTTACATGTTTAATTTTTGGTTTGTTTCTTTTAAAAAATCTGTCAAGAAGATTTCTTATACTCTCACCTCCTTTAAGTTCCTGGATTACAGGTCAGTTCTGATTTATATGACATGTTCCCAAAATCAAAGCTTGTTCCTTCTCATGAAGATTTGATAGTTTTGAGCCTTATGTGATCACTGAATGTGGATCAGACATGCATGGGAAAGCTTAAACAATAACATTTATATTAATAAGTAAATAATAATACCCACACCTACTTCGTGCTTTATACCTTTCGAAGTAACCTTGTACATAATATTTTTAAGGGTGAATATAAAGTTGTCTTTAATCATGGGAAAGTATTTCCGATTACAAGTCAGTACCTTTTCTTCTATAAGAACCCAGAAGCACAGGGTCTCAGGTATAAGTGACTCACCAGGGAAGGACTCCAAAGGTAAATGGGGGCTCAGGAAATGTCCAGTGCAAACCATGACAGCATCAAAAACGGCCCTGTCCTGCATGCCCTCTGTCTCCGTGACGACATCCCACTGACCTGTTTCGGAGAAGTCTGGGCGCTTTGTTACGCTGCACACCGTAGTCTAAAAGTAAAAGACAAACACTTGCTTCCTACCAATGCCTTCGGACTTCCTGCAGTGACTGGTGTGGCAATCATGTCTGTTACTTGAAGTAGGCCACGTCCCATGATAGGAGGGCTATAAATATTAGTTAACATCTCTCCAGAAAATTTAAGTAACTTTTGCAAATTCTCAAAGGTGGCATTATCTACTTGGACCTAAGGCATTTGAATCCTTTCACTGGAAGGAAGGAACAGTCCGTTTTTTTATTCCTGGTGACGAGGAGAAGAGTTATAATACTTGGATGCTTTGGAAAAGTTTAAGGAAATTTAGTTTTGCTCCGTTATAATTTCTGTGGTTCAGACTTCTAGTCATTTTTTCCCAATGGTTTTCCTTTTCTCTAAAAAAGAATTATAAATTTCTTTCTTTCCCTCTTTCTTTTCTTTTTCTTTTTTTGGAGCTGGGAGTCTCCTTCCGTACCCCAGGCTGCAGTGCTGTGGGACGATCATGGCTCATTGCAGCCTCTTCGATCTCCTGGGCTGAAGTGATCAGCCTCCCAAGTAGCTGGGATGGCAGGCCCACACCACCGTGGCTGGCTAATTTATTTTTTGATTTTCTTAAAGAGATGATGTCTTGCTATGTTGCCCAGGTTGGTCTCAAACTCCTGGCCAAAAGTGATTCTTCCTCCTTGGCCTCCCAAAGTACTGGGATTATAGGTATGAGCCATCATGCCTGGCCCTAAATTTTATCCCATATGAGAGTTTCACATTTAGAGGAGGAATCCAGAAATTCAGCATTTTAATGATTTATTTGAGTCAAACGAGTAGCAGGAGGAGTGAGGGGTCTTTATTATCTGTCTTATTTGTGATGAGATAATAATCAGGAATACGTTTACTTAAGCATCTCATTTCCATTAGCGTGCAGAATAGGCCAGCTCCCACTCATTAATCTTCCATAACCTAAAGTATCTTACCTTAAACCGAATATATTTCAGGAGGTCAAAGTGCTTAGCAAATTCTTGGAGATAGTCCCAAAATTTTCCTTGGTGCAAGTAATTTGGATAATCTTCTTGGAAAGGGAAATTCCTGTAACATGACATTTCCTTGCAGACGTTTGTCACCAATGACCTGTAGACCCTGGTCATCCCATCTTTAGAAGATTCCTGTGGTGAAGGTACAGTTAGCTTATCAGGGTGATGGAGATAAGGGGAAGAGAACAGGCTCATGCCATGCCCGCTGGGGGAGGGGGTCCCATCCGTAATGTAAGGCATCCCAAGAAATGCCTCATTGGGTCGCCATGCTGTAGTGATCAGAAATCATTGGTGGGATTGGAATAATTAAATACAACATCTTTTTCAGACCACAAAAAAGCTAATGAGATTTAACAGGGCTCTTCCAGACTAGCAGTGCCCTTAAATGATGCCATAGGCAGGGACCCTGGCCTGTCTTGGTTGTCCTTTCCTTTTCCCTTCCAGTGGCTACTCACGCCACTCATGCCCTGACATCCTCCTCTCTGCCGGAAAGGAAAAGAAACCCTGTATGGGTTTTTCTCCCTATTGTCTATAAATTCTCAATTACTCCTTCTTTATTGACTCCTTCCTGTCAATGCTTAAAATAGAGGAGACTCTAATTTTAAAAACAAAACCAAATCCCCTCTCAACCTGTGTGCCCCTCTAGCTCCATCTCTTCATCCTGACTCAGCCTTTGTAGAAGAACCAGGACATGCTGCTAGTTTCTGTTTGCTCATGGACCCCACTGTCCCCTCCCCACCAGCTCCTCTCCTTGTCCTGATCTCCATCTCAGACACAGAACAACAAAACAAAAGTTTTAAAGGTACCAATGAACTTGTGGCTGAAGCTAGCCTTTATGTCTCCCCCGAATCTCTCTCTTAGCTGTTATTGTCCCTAAGAAGCTTCCCATGACCCAGCAGGTTTGCATAAGGTGGCTGTTGGGACCCTGCCGCAGACTGTGCTGTCAGCCCAGACTCAACCCAGTGTGTTGTGATTCCCGTGTGCTGTGTCTGTTTCCCGCTAGACTGTGAGGGTTGCATTGCCCCTGTTAACCATTGTGTCGGCAGAAGAACATGGTAAATATTGCAGAATGAATGGAAATTAGTATTACAATGGGACTTTTTAAAAAACAAAGCACAGTACTACTGGCCCTCCATATCTGCGTCTGTGGATTCAACCAACCAAGAAAAAAATATTTGGGTGGGGGGAGGGCTGGGCTCGGTGGCTCAGCCTATAATCCCAGCACTTCGGGAGGCTGAGGCGAGTGGATTGCCTGAGACTGCAGGTTTGAGATCAGCTCCAGCAATTTGGTGAGACCTCATCTCTACAATAAATCAAAAAGTTAGCCAGGCGTGGTAGCGCGTGCCTGTAGTTCCAGGAAGGCTGAGACAGAATGATCGCCAGAGGCCAGCAGGTTGATGCTGGGGTGGCCGTGAGCGTGCCAACTGCACTCCAGCCTGGGAGACAGAGTGATATGCCAACTCAGAAAAAAAAAAGACGGTTGTGTTTGTATTGAACATGTACAGACTATTTTTCTTGTCATTATTCCCTAAACATCACAGTATAGCAACTATTTATTTAGTATTTACATTGTATTAGGTATATAGCACAAACACTATACCTCCCTTTTTTTCTGAGTCAATGTCTCACTTTGTTGCCCAGGCTGTAGTGCAGTGGCACAATCACCACTCACTGCAGCATCGACCTTCTGGGCTTAGACGATCCTCCCACCTCAGCCTCCAGAGTAGCTAGGACTACAGGCAAGTGCCACCACACCTGGTTTTTTAATTTAATTTTTTATTTTGTATAGAGATGAGGTCTTGCTATGTTGTCCAGGCTGGTCTTGAACTCTTGGGCTCAAGCGGTCCTCCCACCTTGGCCTCCCAAAGTGTTGGGATTACATGTGTGCACTACCATGCCTGGCCCACACACTTTTATACCAGGGTCTTGAACGTTTGTGGATTTTGGTGTTGGAGGGGGTTCATGAACTAACCCCCCCCACCACAGATATTGAGAGACAGCCATGTGTCTGTCACTGAAGGAAATGACAGTGACATTTTTTTAGTACTGACCTGTGGGCATTGTTACTATATTTCACTTTTATGATTCCTTCTGTTTAACTCAATATTATTTTCTAAAATTAATCTATATCACTTTAGAACAGGAGGAAAAAAACCAAACCAACTGTGGGGTTAAAAGCAGATGCTACATGAACCAAACCTGACTTTTTCCTTGCTGACATCTGATGGCTTGATGAGGCTCACAGCATGGCCAGATAAAGTTTTTTTTTTTTTCTCTCAATACATTGTAATCCTAGGGTTATGGCCTCTCCTGCTTACACTTAACTGCTTGCTTTATTTTATTCACCACGCACCAAGGATCCAGCATATACGGTCTCTCCCATCAAACCTCACCTGTCACACCTGCTGATGAGTGTTGCTCTTGTCTCCCTACAGCATTTAAGACTTGGGCTCACCTGGCTTTTGTCTCTCACCACTGGGGCAGAGCCATTGGTCCCCACTGCATACTCTGCTACCCCCAGGAACCAGGACCAGGCCTGGCCAGAGGCCGGTGGTATTTAAGCACTTTCACCCCCACTTCCTGAAGCTCAGTCACCTCCCAGCTGGTCTGGCCCTGGGTAGAACCTTCTCTGCAGAATATCCCAGTTCTAAGAAGGAGTAGTCAGTCCTGGCTCTTCCCATTCTGGTAATGTGAAGGCTCACCACTCCCACCCAAGCCCTTCCGAGGTCTGGGTTCCGCCTCACTCTTGCCAGTTCTCTTCCCATGGGCCTGAACAGTGTCTGGGGCTTGGGACTGCACGCCCCGATGTCAGCTTCCATCCTCTCCAGAGTGTAATCTGCTCACCACTGCCACTCAGTTTACCCGACGTGACACTCGGCTACTCTGTTTTAGAACGTCCAAGGACCAGAAGCCATCATAAATTTCCATTGCTATGTTTATCGATCAGATTTAATTCTTTTTCCCTCTCTCTTCCAGCTGTTCCTGCCTCTCCCCTGCCTAGTGTCAAGATTCCTCCCTGATCACACTGCATTCTACAGTGTCTTGCACTACCCATGCACATGTTTGTTCTGTTGCAGTGAGACACCCTTACTTGATCACCAAGGCAGGCTAAAGCCACCATGTCTGAGCAGAGACAAAGCAAATGGCCAGGTTACGACGGATGGAGATGGGAGGACATGAACCACGCACAGCAAACTTCCACAGTCCCCCGATGTCATTACTCCTCTCAAAGCAGGTGGGCTCCAGGTTCTCATCCAAGCAGCATTTAATGGAGGACAGACCACTCACACCAGCTCCAATCACTGCGACTCTCTTGGCCATCGTGTGTCCTGTCAGAGGAAGGTCAAGCAGAACTTCTTCAAACGACAAGGTTGGAAAGAAGCCCTTGTCACAGGACTCAACTTTTACAGGGCAGTGAATGCCCTTCTTTTATCTCAGGATGGAGGGAGAATCACCTTCTGATTAAAATGCAGGCTCTGAAATCAGCCTGGTTTAAATCCTGGCTTCCCCACTTATTAACTGTGTGGCTTTGGCTAGTTGTTCATCTTCTTTGTGCCTCAGTTTTCTCATCTGTAAAATGGGAATGGTAATAATAATAATAACTCTTTAAAGATTGGCTGTGAAGATTAAATGACTGATATATATTGGAAAAGTTTTAGAAGTGTGCCTGCTGCATAGTAATTGCTCACTTAAAATTAGCTATCACAGGATGTGCAGCCCACATTCCAAAATCCAAACTTTTTGAACACTAAAATGATGCTCAAAGGAAATGCTTAAGGGGACATTTTGGATTTTCCAAATATTCAAAAAATCTGAAAATCCGAAACACTTCTGGTCCCGTGTTTTGAATAGGACTGCTCAACCTGTGTTATTGTCATTAGTGTAGCCAGTGTGCCTTGACCCCTTGGGGCCTAGATCCTCTCAGCATTAAAGGGACCCTTTGCTGTCACTTTGCGCCTCTGAACCCTAGGAATTGCAGTTGGTAGAAATGTCCATTTTCACCCAGAGCATCTGAAGTCCTGAAAAATAGCCCTGCCACATGGCGAGGATATTACATGGGCTGAGGGGAAGTTCTTAACCTTGCATGGAGGCAAGACTGATGTAATAGAGAACAAAGTCCCCAAGAAAAATCCTATGGGGCATTCTGGAGTCCAAGATGAAGTCAAGTGAAAACAAAGGTGCTCATGCGTGTTAGGGGACCCTGGAGGAGGTGTGTGTCATGGGAATTTCGAACCAGTTCTTCTAGACTTTATAATTTGTGCTTCTGCACACCTCACCTTAGCTTTTGCCTTGGTCAGATGAGCTGATGAGTTAATTCTGGTAAATCAGGGTTACATCACTGAGGCCCTGACACACCAAGTGGACTTAGTTACAGGTGCTGCTGTTCCCTGAAACACCTCCTAGTCAGCCAAGAAAACACACAGACAACAGTTGAGACCTCAAAGTATTTAACTGTTTTGTAAAATATATATGACTCATTTGCCTTTTCCTGTGAAGATGCAGTGAAAGGAGAGATCTAGGTGTATGAGCCCAGCATGACTTTTATAGTTTCAAGCCCCTTATCACAGGGGTATTTACCTTGGGGAGCCAAGAGAGCACATATTGACTGAGCTAGGAGACCAGGGAATAGAAGAGCATAGTGTTATCATTCTACAGGACTTAAGGACATGCTGTTAATAAGAGGAAGAGTCGGCATTAAAGGTGGATCTCTGGCTCCGCCGCCAAGATATGCACCAGTTGCTGGTCTGTGATCCCGTCATTAAGCCCCTTCCCTCACCCTTGCTGCTGCACTTTAGGAATGGTTTGTCCCTGTGGCTTTGCAGCTTGCCTCCTGATCAGACCAGAAGCCTCTGGCACAGAAGCAAAGTGGATCTACTGACCTCAGGGAGCAAAGAAAGATGCTGAGCCCTTGGATCCCTCAGAGCCACCTGGTCCTGGAGAAGATTCTTGGGTTTGCAATGAAGGTCAGAAGGATTTCCTAGGGCTTCCTGTTTCCAAGCATGTTTGCCATCTTGCCCTTTGTAAGGCCAAGATCTCCACGCTTGGCTTCATTATCTGTTGCCATATATCTCCTTCTTCTTCTCAGCTTCTTAGTTTATTTGAGATTCTCTATTTAGTTGGGAGAGCCTCATGGGCTCCAGTAAAAATAGTCTTTGAAGGCAGCAGAATTGGGGTTGAACTGTCTCTGCTACCAATCATGTGACCCTAAGCAAGCTACTGAAGCACTCTTAGATGTGCTATTCATAAAATAAGAAAACTTCCTATGTTGAAGGATTGCCTGAGTTCTAAAAAATGAAATATCACTTACATAAAACTGCCTTGTACTCTGTATTCATTTCTTCTCTCTGAATACTCTATTATTCCTTCTCTCCCTGCTTGTCTCATTCCTTCCCTCTTGATTCCCTAGAAGAGACAACCCAAACAGATACAGTTATCTACAAGTTTGGAAGTGGGTAGGCAGACATACCTGTGGTTTCTTTTGGGTTGAGGATCCGAGGTCTAGACAGTTTCTAGCCAGAATTAAATTGCCCCCACCAACAAGAATACTTGAATTTCCAGGTCGCTAGATAGAGTCCTGGGACTGGCAAATGTCTGCTGCACTCGGTCTTTGCAATAATAACACAAAGGAATTGGCTGGTAATTGAGTTGGCAATGTGAAAAACATGCTGAAGTCAATAGACTGGCACCAAGGCAGTTCATTCAACAGATATGCCCTGGGCACCTCTAAGTGCAGATACTGTGGGACCCCAAAGTCACTTAGTTCCCAGTGACTAAATGGTAGTAATAAAGTTTTAGGAAAAAAAAAAGATGCAGTCACTGTTCTCAAGGAGATGCTGTTGTGTGGGAGGGACTGACGTGTACCTGACATCTTTGCAAAGTCCTGCAACTGCAGCAGCTCTGGGCATAGGTGCTGTGATGCTCCTGGCCTATTTAGCCCTGTCAGTGGCAGTCACAGTGGGCCATGGGACAGAAAGGCAATGGGGAAAAACACTTGTCTTTTAAGGACTGTCTTTGAAACTGTAGAAACAAATCGGGAATTTGCACCTTTTAAAATTAATCTGTATGTTCTGTATGTACAGACTGTGAATTTCACAGTGGCGTAACTGACTTAAAATATGCTTTTAAGTCAGTAAGAAGAGGTAGTAAGTGAATTGGAAATGGAAAGGTGTGAATTCTAGTTCTGCTTCGTCCTCCAACCAGCCATGTAACCCTAGACAATATTCTTCATTTTTCATAGTCATTGTTTTCATATTTGTAAAATAGAGGGTTAAAGTACTTTTTTTTGTTTCCTTCAATTTTTATGTCTCAAAACAAAGTAATTGGTGCAAAAAAATTAGATGTGAATTCAAGTATAGGAGAGATTACTGCAGGCTTGAAGGACTGGGAGAACATAAGATGTGTGCAGACTCTTTGTAATCTGTAAAGTACACTTCATAAGGCACTTTGCGGGGGAGGGGGGGAAGGTTAGGTTCTCACTCTGTGGCCCAGGCTGGAGTGTAGTGGCATGATCACAGCTCACCACAGGCTTGACTTCCTGGGCTCAGGTGAACCTTCTGCCTCATCCTTCTAAGTAGCTGGGACTACAGGTATATGCCACCACACCTGGCTAATTTAACAAAAAAAAAAAAATTTGTAGAGACAAGGTCTCACTATGCTGCTTAGGCTAGTCTCGAACTCCTGGGTTTAAGCAGTCTTCCCACCTTGTTGTCCTAAAGTGCTGGGATTACAGGTGTGAGCCACTGCGCATGTACTTTGAGGCTCAAACGTTGTTTATAGTTAATCCCTTGGCAGAAAAAAGCCCTGATATATTGAACTGGATCTTTGTACAGAACATCACCCCATATTTGACTGACCAACAAATGCAGGAATACTTTATGAGACATGGGGAGACTTGGGTGATTTGCAAGTCATGCAATCAGTTATGACTTCTTTGAGTCTGCAATTTGATCAGTTTGTGTTTCTTATCAGCCCACCTTGCTCTTATTTTGCTGCAGTATTTCATATCATGTCATCTGCGGAGTACTTGGTGTTTCCCAACACAGGGCACTCCCATCTCATTCATAAGCGGAATCAGGGGTGAGCCTAGGGTCATCGACTATTTCTCACTGCACCTTCCCTTCGGATGGTTTCTTCCCACAGCTTAACTTTGTTTTTCTACAAGTCCTCTTTGCTTCCTGACTCTTTCCTTAATTTTCTTGCTTTAATCAAAAGGTACCGGGAGAAGAGAATCACATTCATTCTCAAGAAATGCACTCTCCATGGAGAACACTCATCCTTTGCTAAAGTAGTTTCTGGAAACATTTCCCACTTAAAAATACAAACACCCCCCCCCAAACACAAAAAACTCAGGACACTTACCTTATTGGCATACAGTAGATCCTTTGACTTAAATTATTTCTCAATGTCAAAAAGACAATGTTTGTCTTAAAAATAAAAAACTCAAAACACAAATTCTTTTTTCTAAAAAGAAAAATAAATGGAATGCTGACTGACCAATGTGTTTTCAGTGCAAAATAAAAAAAGCCACTGGTCTTTTCTGACAGAAGAAAGTATACACACTAAGGAAAAAAAGTAGCGTAGGAGACAGCTTGACACTTCCACGACCTCAGGGGAGGGCCAAATGTTGAGTTAGAATGCATTTGTCGGATTGGCAGGATACAAACACCCCCTGCCCCTTCCCTCACCCTCTCAAACGTCACAGTTCTGGCAAAGTCCTGAAACCAGATGCACGTGGTAAGCAACGCTCTTGTCATTGCAGCCTGGAGAGGGCGCCAAGTCACCCCAAATCACGGCAGTCTCAATGAAACTTAAGTTGTACTTTTGGAAACTAATTTCTAGGAACTGTACAGAGGAGAAGGTCATTTAGGTGATTATCACTTCATTGAGTTCTTCCATGTCTGGCATTTTCTAACCCCAGAAGTGTGATTTTATAATTCAGGACCCACAAGGAAGTTAAGCAGTTTCATTCCTCAGGTTGGATCAGCAGAAGGAATTGGTAAAACGTGTTTGAGAAAGCATAAAGCTATTTTTAGATATTAACCTGAACTGCAAGAATGTCAGTAATTATACAATTCTTCTTTCACTGTGTGCCTGGAAGCTAACATAACAGATCATCTTAGGTCTTGTGTTTGTGAACATTTTCCAACACGTTCATTGAATAGTTAACAGTATTGTTAACCATAGACACTATGTTGTACAGCTAATTTCTAGGACTTACTCATCTTGGATGACCAAAACTTTATACCCCTTGTACCATGCTCTTGCCCCCTCCTTCTAGCCCCTGACTTCCACCATCCTTCTCTGCTTCTATGAATGTGATT